CGAGGTCAGGAGATTGAGACCATCCTGGCTAACACGGTGAAACCCCGTCTCTACTAAAAAATACAAAAAACTAGCCAGGCGACGTGGTGGGTGCCTGTAGTCCTAGCTACTCAGGAGGCTGAGGCAGGAGAATGGCGTAAACCCGGGAGGCGGAGCTTGCAGTGAGCTGAGATCCGGCCACTGTACTCCAGCCCGGGCGACAGAGACTCGTCTCAAAAAATAAATAAATAAATAAAAAACAGCTGGGCGCGGTGGCTCACACCTATAATCCCAGCACTTTGGGAGGCCGAGGCAGGCGGAACACCTGAGATCTGGAGTTCAAGAAAGTACAAAAAAAATTAGCCGGGCATGATGGCGGGTGCTTGCAATCCCAGCTACTTGGGAGGCTTATGCAGGAGAATCTCTTGAACCCAGGGAGGCAGAGATTGCAGTAGGCCGAGATCACACCATTGCACTCCAGCCTAGGCAACAAAAGCGAAACTCCGTCTCAAAAAAGTAAATAAATAAAAAATAAAAATAAAAACTGGCCAGGTGCGGTGGTTCACGCCCTTGATCCCAACACTTTGAGAGGCCGAGGTGGGCATATCGCTCGAGGTCAGGAGTTCTAGACTACCCTGGCCAACACGGTGAAACCCTGACTCTACTAAAAACACAAAAATTAGCCGGGCGTAGTGGCACAAGACTGTAGTCCCAGCTACTCAGGAGGCTGAGGCAGGAGAATCGCTTGAACCCAGGAGGTGGAGGTTGCAGTGAGCTAAGATGGCGCCACTGCACTCCAGCGTGAGTGACAGAGGGAGACTCCATCTCAAAAAATTAAAAAATAAAATAAATAGGCCAGGAGCAGTGGTTCACGCCTGTAATCCTAACACTTTGGGAGGCCAAAGCAGTCGCCTGGGGTCAGGAATTTGAGACCAGCCTGGGCAACATAGTGAAACCCCATCTCTACTAAAATACAAAAAAAAAAAAGAATTAGCCGGGGTGGTGGCACGTGCCTGTAGTTCCAGCTACTCTGGAGGCTGAGGCAGGAGAATCACGTGAACCCACGAGGCAGAGGTTGCAGTGATCTGAGATCGCGCCACTGCACTCCAGCCTGGGTGACAGAGCGAGACTCCATGTCCAAAAAAATAAAAAATAGTAAGTTTCTAAAAAGGTGTCAGCCATGCCCAACCCAAGCTTTATTCTAACAAAAGGCAAATGCTTGGTAACTGCATCAAACGCATTCAAAAACTCCAGAGTTGTAGGGCATCCCCTCAGCCTCTGCCCCACAGAGGCCCAAGGAGGGTGTGGGTTCCCCCCTTCCCCGCCCTGGGGCTGCACAACTTCAGCAGGGCCCCACAACACAGCCAGGGACAGAGTTAAAGACTCCGGGCTCAAAAGCACCCCTCAGGACTCTCAAAGCAGGAGCCATCAGCCCCAGGCCGTCCAGGACAAGGCCCTAAGACAGGACCAGCAGACTATAGGTGTCTTCCTGCCCAACCAGAGGCAGGAATGGAGAAACGCACACACATTCACACGCCATCAATGACACGCGACCGCAAGGCCGTTATCATCCCTCCAGAGCTCTCTCAGTGTCTTCTCTCTCACACACACACGCAGCATGGGGCCCAAGCTCACCCCATATTAGCCTCTGCCTTCACCCAGAGGCCTCCTGTACCCCTCGGCTTCCCCTCTTCCCATCGTGGGCCACTCAGTTTCAACTTCCTCCCCTTTTGGGGAAAAGGAAAGCAAATCTCCTCCAGATGACGTCGGCCACAGGAAGCACAGACGCGAGGCCCCGTTCCACCCTCTTAAAGACACAGGATGGCCCCACGCAGTAGCGGGCTAGCAGCCAAGGAGCCAAGGGGTGGGGGCCAGAGAGGAGGGGAAGCAGAGGTGCCCCAGCTGCCTCCCAGAGCTGCCTCTCTGAGCGGAGCCTGCGGGGCCTGGCCTCGGAATGCAGCCTGGCCACTAGGGAGTCCAAGAGCCACCCCAGCCTCTGTGGGCCCCAACCACACTCTAACTCAGCAGCACCCCCACCCCCACTTCCACCAAACCCACCGGCCCTGTTCCACCAGCCTCCAGGAGGAGCTTCTGCATCCATCTAGGTCTAGAGGGCGACCCTGGGGCCCTGGCTGACACACCACAGCGAGCAAAGTCCAGCCTATCCCTTCAGCTCCTCCTCTCCCACCAGCACTCTCTCCAGTCTGTCTCCCCTGTTCTCCGGCCACCCTGCAGGGTCCATCATGTCACCCCCTACTCCAACGCCAGCTATGGCTCCTGTAGCTCTTGGGATTACAAAGGAATTTGCTTTATAATTACATGTTAAATAGAGTGTGTGTATCTGTGCTTTCCTGTATATGTATTATAGTTGACGATAAAAGAAGAAAAGAGGCCACGTGCTGTGGCTCACACCTGTAATCTCGGTACTTTGGGAGGCCGAGGCTTTTGGGAAGCTTGAGCCCAGGAGTTCGAGACCAGCCTGGGCAACATGGCAAAACTCCGTCTTTACCTATCAAAAAAATCAAAAATTAGCCAGGCATGGTGGCACGCACCTGTAATCCCAGCTACTCGGGAAGCTTGCCCCTGCCTGGGAGACTGAGTCAGAATCTGTCAAAAAAAAAAAAAAAGAAGAAGAAGAAGAAGATTTATCTCACCAGACACTGAAACTTATAATAAAGGAAATTTTTTTTTTTTTGAGGTGGGGTCTCACTTTGTTACCCAGGCTGGAGTGCAGTGGCACAATCACAGCTCACTGCAGCCTCAAACTCCCAGGCTCAAGTGATCCTTCCACCTCAGTCCCCCAAGTAGCTGGAACCACAGGCACGCACCACCACACTCGGCTATTTTTTTTATTTTTTGTAGAGACAGGGTCTCACTGTGTTGCCCAGGCTAGATTTTAATATTTAATTAAAATTTTATTTTATTATTTTATTTATTTATTTTTTTGAGACAGAGTCTTTCTCTGTCATA